TGCAGCAAACACATTTGTGAACTGAGGTATCACTGTAAGGAGCAAAAGCAAGAACTTCCTTATTAGCAACTCCTTTAACTGTAAATGGATTAAACTATTTAATTAAAAGACAGTGGTTAGCACAAAGGGTAAGGAAAGTACAATTCATTTATATGCTATCTATAGGAGGCCTGTGTTATTTATTTTTTTAAGAGACTAACATGTGGTTTACAATCACAGACAAGTTAGAGTCTTTATCATTATAAAACTAGATTTTAGATCAAAGATTTGTGAGACAGGTGGATGTTATGTCTCATCCAGAAGACATAGCAATTATAAATGCACACATACAAAGCCTCAAAATATATAAAGAAAAAAAATAGATCAAAATGAGAAGTATTTTCACAGTAATAGTTGGAGAATCTGATATACCTCGTTTAGGAATGGCTATGACATAGACACATGATCAGTAACGAAATAGAGTATTTGAACATTGTAAGCAAAGCAGTCCTAAAAGACATATACAGAGCACTTCACCTAACACTAAGATATATATTCTTCTCAAGTTTACAAAGAACTTTGTCCAGAATAGACCATGTTAGACCACAAAACAGGTCTTAATAAATTTTTGAAAAAGAAATCTTAGAAAATGTTTTTTCCAGGCCCAAAATGAAATGAAACTATAAATTAGTCAACAGGAGAAAAACTAGAAAACTCACAAATACATAGAAATTGAGCAACCAGTAATCCAAATAGAAATCACAGGGAAATGAGAATGTACTTCAAGATGAATGAAAACAAAACACAATATTTCAAACCTTATGGAATGCAGTGATGGCCATGTTCAGAAGAAAGTGTATAGCTGTGACCATCAGCACCTAAGAGGATCTCAAATCAATAACTCAAAGTGTTCATTTTAAGGAAATAGGTAAATAAAAGCCAGCCATACCCAACATGAGCAAAAATAAGGAAATAATAAGGATTAGAGTGGAGGAAAACAAATAGAAAAACAGATGAGCACTGGTGTCTCTTGGAATAGATCAACAATATAAACAAACTATTATCTACATTGACTAAAAACTAGACAAGACTCAAACTCTTCCAAAAACTGAAGAGAAAAATAAAACCTGAAAGCTTATTTGACTAGATCAGTATTAGTCTGACTAGACCAGTATTATCCTGCTACCAAAGTCAAAGATATCAAAGAAAAAGACAGACCAACGTCCCTTATGGCTACTCACTGAAAGTCTTCAACAGGATATAGCGAAATAAATCCATCTATGTAGTTACCTACCAAAAACATGTGGGACCTATCTTAGGAAGGTAAGGGTGTCCAACATGTGAAAAGTCCATAGGTACAACACAATACACTCAGAATGAAGGGGGGAAACACAATCACCTCAACTGAGTCAGAAAAAGGATTGGATAAAATCCAATATCCTTTCTTTTTTTAAAAAAAA